TGTGTGAAAAAATAAATAAATTCAGGGTTGAGTTGTTGGCTCCGTGCTGGTTGAAATCCACCGTACGTACACGGTACACCTCCGCGTGTATCTATCACAGTTGATTGTGCACCCATGTCTTTCCTTTTTCCAAAGTTTTTTTCTTCGCGTAAAATTTGGTGCCTCAACTCTCATGTGAAGTGCCTTTTTTTTTCTAAATGAGTTTATAACGGTTTATAAGTCACATGAGAGACAGAACAGAGCCTCCTCTCACCATCACAACATTGGCGTTTCCAGAATCATCGCGCCCGAAAGAGACGCGAGCTGTTGCTTGGGCAGCAGAAAGCATGGTGTGGCTTTTCAACACTGCACGTAAGCCGCACAAGAAGAACTGCTAGCTTGGATCCTGAGGAACCAGAAACTGAGGCCTATGCCTGCCTATCCATCCATCTGCTTGAAACGCCACAAACAAATGATACTTCCAGCGATCCAAAAACTGGCCCGGGGCCTCTTCTGTTCCTGAGATCAGGTGCACTGCAAGTGGCGGCCAGCGTAGAGCCGAATCATGCCTGCTCCAGCGCGAGGTGGCAAGGCTCCTCTTGAAACTTGCACTCGTCGGTTCACCTGATTGTTTTTGTTTAGCATTCCGAGAGCCATTTTACACGGTCCAAAAACACAGGTTGTCACATGACTAGCTAACATTTGTATTCAACGAGCCCTAGAAAGAAAGAAAGAAAGAAAGAAAGAAAGAAAGAAAAGAAAAGAAAAGGTTGGCATTGACAATGTGCAGCCAGTGCAGGTTCGTTCATTCCTGCACGGAATGGAATCAAGTTGTGAAAGTACATTGGGCATGCCTTGCTGCTGCAGGTCGTCCTTTTTGACCCTTTTCTGTTCTTGATTGATCGGCTCCGTTCGTCAAGCATCTATTATCCCTTCAACATTGTCATTATTATTATTTTTTCTCTCGGTACGGTAGTAATTAAACTGCTTGACCTTCCATCAGTGAGATTCCTAGATATTCAGATGGCTAGGATGGATAGATCATGGGGAAAATCCAAGTGCCATTACAATAGCCGTTTTCTCCAAGCTGACGCAAGTGGCATTCATGTGCCATCCATCCATCCACTGTAGTACATCTGCAATTGCAACGACGCCTAGCTCTGACAGTCTGACACCATGTTAACCAGCAGAGAATTCCTCAAAGATTGTTAACAAGTCAAAACTGTACTAGTACTCGCGCTTGCTTTGGGATCCAGGACTGAATCATTCACTTCACTGGAGCCGGAGCACTTTTGCTGCAAGCAACCGAGTTGGTGTGTGCTAAACCTAAAATATTCTCCCCGAGCAGCATGCCCGGCCAGCTAGTACACCGTGTGGTACTGGCGTACTGCCATGCCATGCATGTGCATGCATGGCCATCAATCAGCATCATCTGCTTCTGCTCCGCTGTAGCTAAATTTTTTACAATCAAAACATGTGGCTTAAGTCAAAACTGTACTACTACCACTCGCGCATGAATATTGGGATCCAGGACTGAATCATTAAATTCACTGAGCCGAAAAGAAAAAACTAATTGCACAGTTTAGTGGGAAATTATGAGACCTAAAATTTTAAGCCCGATTAGTCCATGCCCGGCCACTATTTATCAAATAAAACTGGCGTACGCCATACATGAATCCCAAAATCCAAATTTCTCCAACTAAACGAGGGCTAAGCATCACTGTTGGGTGTTCGTTACCAGCTGCAGCTGAGCCGAGTGCCCAAGGTTCTGCAGCAATCCAGTATGGTGTGGTGTGGCATGGTATGGTATGGTATGGTATGGTATGGTATGGTATGGTAGGGGCAGCCGGGACCGGTGGTTGAGCTGAAGCCGAGATGATAAACTAGTGCTGTACAGGTTGGAGCTGAGGAGGACGAGGAGATCAGGATTCAGGAGCCCGAGAGGAGAGGAGATGATCCCTGTGACGTCACCTCATCATCAATGCTAATAGCGATGCTTATTATTAGCGCTTGATGGTGGAGCATCGTGTCATGTAATAAAATAATGGGCGGCTATATATGTGCATTCTTGGAAGCCGGAATTTTCATATTCCGCCGTCTAGAAAATGCAATTGGTTAGGAAGGTCGAGTATTATTACAGGTACATCCATTAAAAAAAAGATGCAATTCTAAGTTTGGATCGAGTCAAACTTTTTAAATTTAACTATGTTTAAAAATCATCGTCATCATCATTATCTTTATTATTATTATCATCATTACTACTACTACTACTACTATTATTTATGACTTTGAAAATATGTTTTATAGTTACTGATCACTTATTTAATATTAAAAATGTTACTATGTTTTAAGAACTCTTGATTTCTCAAAAATCAAGAATCGGTTTTTTTTTTTGAACGAGGTAGCAGATCAAGCTGGTACAGTGGTACTAGACTAGTCCATGGGTTTGGATGGGGCTGATGACATAAACCTGATTAGATAGAGCCGACCTAACGCTGCCACCGGTGAGGCCTGCACTGTACATGACATGACATGGAAGAGGGGGGGTTGGATTGGATTGCACCATCTGCCTGCAAATAATTCGCTGTGGGAATCAGGATAATCTGGTGGCTTATTGGGTGGTTCCTGGCTGGGGGGTTGCTAAGCTGTTATTTATGAGTATATGATGGCTTGGCTGCTTGTGCTTGGCCCTGGTCCCCATCGTTTGGATAGGTAGGTGACGTAGGAGGACAGTTGAAACCACCGGGCAGGCGAGCAGAAGCGCTAGCTTTCTGTACTGCTCCGGTGGCCGGTGGCCGGTGCCCGGTGGGGGCTACTGCTCCTGCTGGTGTCTGCCTGCCGGCGGCTGCAGATTCTCCTCCTCCCTTTGGCATTGATTTAGGACAACTGACTGTCCAGCATAGCAATCAGATCAATGTACTACCTATGGAAACAGAATCAGAGAGAGTAGTATGTATAGTTGACTGCTGACAGCTGCGCTTGCACTTGCACTTGCACTCGACAGTGGTGGCCCTTGTGGTCACTGGATATTCATAATCCAGTTGGACAATTGTCAGGCACTGATATTACCATTGATCACAAACGAGAGCGCAATGTGAATTCATCCTGTGTGTCTCCCTATCAACACAGCAATCAGAATGTACATATACCAAAAAGACAACATTGTTTGTTTAGATTCCTCAAGATCATTACGAAATTATGGTAGCATCATCACGGGCATCTGCATATTTCTGTTGCCGTTAAGCACCAGACAGCAGCCAGTGTTTCCCTTCACAGGTACAGGTACACCAACACGAATAATGCCTTCTGATGATGATAAGCGAAGGCGACCAGAGTACTACTAGGCAGCTCGGTCAGGCATGGCATCGGTATCCTCAACGGGCAGGGAATTGGCTGGCACTAACGACTAATCTAACGCAGGTGCCTTAGGCCATTAGCGAAGAATGCCAAACTGAATAGGCCAAGTTGGCGTGCCATCGAACTGGCAGCTAGCGCACATGCTATGCCACGCCACGCTAGCTCATGTAGCTACAGCCTACTGGCCTACTACAGGGGGTGCTAACAGGAAACTGACCTGCATCACGCATCGAAATCGCTGGGAGCGCGTTTATGATGGGAAGTGGATTAGGGGCAGCAGTAATCAGTAAAAACTACAGTGTTTGCTCTTGGAACAGCAGCAGACGACGACTTCCTTTTGCCTTGGGTGCTTGGGCCTCCGGGTGGTTCGTGGAGCAGGGAGCAAGCAACGACGCGCGCACGCCGAGGCCGTGGCCCGGGGGAAGGGGCGCCATGTGAGGCGGCCGGTGGTGGACCAGTGGTGGCCGAGGAGAGAAGTGCCTCGTGCTGTCGGAAGTTGACCGGAGCACATTCGCGACGCGCAATCATTCCGGAACTCGGATTTGCAAATTTAACGGTCATTTACTCGTGTGATACGACGCCCGCCGGAAGTCATGTCTGTGATCCGGGTGAGTCGAACGTACACCTGGTCGTGGCGTAAACGAACTTTTGAACATCAATTCATCTAGATTTGAGACTGAACCAATACATTGAAAAATGAGCAACAAGAGAGAAGATTATGGCCACTGTTAATCGTCAGGTTATTCTAGTTTTTTTTTCTTTCCCTGGAGCACCAAACTCATACTCACGAGCACGATTTGATTAGTCAGTTCGGCAAGCTCTAATAACCGCAACGAAAGAAACTCCTTGCCACGGAAATGAATAACCATTCACAGAATAATAGTAAACCGCCGGGACCATGACAACAACACGATATAGGCCAGAACATGTAAACCAGAAAATGGTTTATGTGAAAAGCACAACCCGAACGTCCAACAGCAATACAGATTCAAGATTACAGAAATTTAGGGCCCATTTGAATACTTGGAATTAAATTCATTCAAATAATTATAGTTAGCCATACAATGGAGATAATTATAGTTGTAGAATAGAAACATAGAACGATGATTTATAGAATCAATTTCATCTCCCACCCTATGAATTTGAGATAAATTTATATGTGAACTTTGGAAAGTGGTGGAATGTCAAATTCCAAGTCAACTGGCCTAATTTATTAAGTGGATTTCAATTCCTCCAAATGAAAGCATCCAAACAACCCCTTATTGATCTTTGTTGATGGTAAAAAAAAAAGCCACTGTCACTCGTATTAACCATCAAGAGTTCTTTGAATGTCCGAACTGACGAATTCTAAGTGAAAATTTTGAAAAAGGTGATCCAGCTATAACAGACTAAGTGGCCTCTTACAATTACCATTCAGAATAACAAAAAACCCAGCAACAGGTCACCTTACAGCAGATGTCAAAAACCAAAACTATTATCGAAATGTATAAGAGAACCGAAGTATCAGACCAATTTGACCAACACGCCTAGGCAGAATCAAGAGCCGAGATCAAGAAGCAGGATAACACCGCTGCGCTGGCAAACCCTCTGAACTGCTAACGCTATCATTACTGGCAAGCAGCAGAAAAGGTGTGTACAGAACTGGCTACAGAAGGCCACAAGGTTTACATTCTGAAATTCTGCCTTGTCTTGATCATACGCTTCAATGCCGCAAGCGAGAAGTTGCACTCATCCCAGTCACTTGTTGTTAAGAGTACCTGACACCAACATTGTGCAGTTGCAGATAGTTAGAAGTCAAGGAACAACTGATATCCAAACTTTCAAAAGAACATGGAGAAGACAGACGCTACAGAACCTAAAAGATCAACGTCCAATCTACCTGGAGGTGCATCGCAGTGGCAAAATCACTAGCATCAATTGCACTGCACAATTGAATGAGTTTTGATGAAACATTTGGCGATATGTCGCCACTATTTAGTTTTGAAAACAATGCCCCTATTTTCCTTGAATTGTCCTCGATTTCACGATTTTTTGCTTGAGTAGCATGTGATCCTCCCAGAGCTTTGGACGTCTCATTGAATAGTCTGGTTAGTGTACCAATAACAGGTCTCAGCTCAGCTGCAAAGACAACAAGAGTGTTAGATACTTGGTAGACCTCATATGAAATCACAAGGAGTCAGGAAAAAAAACAATCCTTGAAACCAGAATAGAACAAGTGAGACTAAAAGATGTCCTAACAGCAAAAAGGTGGAAGCCTGACAACTACATTCGACATACCAGACACTTTTGTCGTATCAGCTGTCTGCACAGTCGGGGGAGGTGCAGGAGGAGCTGACTGTGCCTGCACCTGCGTCGGACTTGAGGGCTGTGCAGGACTTAAACCTGGCCTCGGAACAAAGCTTTGATTGTTTGATGGCATAAACATCTGGCTAGGGGCTGTTCCCGGTACGGGGGCGCTCGGACCAAGAGAAGATACTGGTGGAGCAGCAGTCTGATATTGAACAGGTGATACAGGCTGATGAAATGTTGTTGGAGGTCCGCTTTGATAAGGAGCAGATGGTCCAGAAGAATACTGTTGATTTGTAGCACCCTGTTAAGACCAGAGAGATAAGTTTGTAACTAATATCACAGAAATGCTAGTAAATATAAGTCACCAGTATACCTACCGTGTAAAGCTGGGAACCTAAGGTATTAGGTTGCTGATATTGTCCCGGGTTTTTTTAGACCAGCTGGGTTCGCAGGAGTAAATGTCTTCACTGTTTGCTGAGGCACTGGTACAGGTGAAGAGCCTGGCTGTTGCTGCACAAAAATGTCATAAGAAACAGTGAGTGTAATAATTTTGCATTGCTTTAAATGGAAAAAGACATAAAACACTCATTAACTTCAGATGAGGTGAAATTCTGCTTGTGAAAACTCAAAAGTAGCAGATACTTAAGCAAGAAAAACTTCAAATACATGGGGGCTACGTGTTCAGACACACCACAATATATCCGACGTTACATTTCTTTTGTTCAAACACAACACCAAAACAAGGGAAACCAAATATTTGCTATTTTGCACTGTCTTAATGGACGTGCAAGTGAGACAGGAGGTAAGTTCAAAAATTCCCACATAACGTACCAAATACTAGTTGCAACAAACTAGGCACTTGTACTACAAACCAGTGAGAAGCTTCTCAAAGCACAACTGGCCTAGGTTTGTTCACGTACATGTGATGCTAAACAAAAAAAAAAGGATTTCCCGAATCACAAATACCTGAGAGTTGACAGGTGTGCTAGGTGGAACAAACATATTGGTTGGTTTTTGAGGTTGATATGCGTTGTTGTATCCATAGGCTCCAGTAGGTTGTTGTGGGTAAGCTTCTGAATATGTATTACCTGCCACATTGTATGGTTGAGGTACCTATTGTTAGCAGTGGTCAGAACATTATACTACAAAATCAATAGAGCAAAAATGCCCCTCCCATTGATCACAAATGTTTGGCGTTTAAGACATTCTCACGGCCTTACAAGATGACACTTTGACTATGGTTTCTATGAGAATATGACATTTTAAATAAATATGTTCAGATATTGTGAAATTATTTTTATGATGAACCTAGCAACATCAATATTACAATGTAAATCTACTATGCAACTCTTACAGAAAAGGTTTGACAGAGAGAAAACCTAAACCGGCACATTTGTTAGGGAGTATTAGTTTATTCGGGCAAACATTGAACCGGTAAATCAAAAGGCAAATTTTGAAGTATGAAATGATGGTACAAGAGGGAACCTGGTAAACATTCTGAGAATGGTCTGGGGTGGTATAAGGTTGATTTGTGATATAGGGGGAAGGAGTGCCGGTGCTTTCAGAAACAGAACTCCTAGCATTATCGTTCTCTGCAAAATAAAACTCAAATAAATACTATGACATAAAATCCCTGTGTAATTACCAATATTTTAGGACAACAGCATGAAGAAAAGTGACTTTACTCTGGACTAGTGCAAGGCGCACGCCATTGCGTGCGAGGGCAAAGGAGCATGGTTAGGTTGATACATGTATGATCCACATGTTACACACGCTGGTGATTTACATAGTTAAGGTACCATGACCGATAGATATTTACAGGATGCATAAACTACATAGGTCTAGGCATATGGTATAGGTTTACATGCAGGTTGTCCACAATAGGACTATGATGATTGAGATATACATGTACAGAATGCGTATGTTACACATGCATATGTATATATTACATATGCTAGTGGTTTAGTACATTAGGTGAAAGGTCGTAGACTCTGATGTCTTTGCATACTGATAATAGAAGCTACCAATATATTGTTACATATGTTGTCAAAGTCTTGTATAGATCAGGAACAATATAGAGATATATATTACATGTGGTGGTAGGTTGTATATCACATTGGACATAGTTGGGTAGCTGCTGATGGTGTCGTCAAAGTCTTCTCAGTATTTTGGTACTCGAACAGAGAGGCCATGGTTCCCAGAGATCTATACAATGTTAGATGTATGTAGAAAGAAAGGAGGAATCTAATGAAGTGGGGACAGCCTGAGGCAAGCAACAGGCTCGAAACTGTGTGAATGGAAGAAAACATAATAAAAATGTGAGGAACAGGTAGGTCACACCAGAGACACAAAAATCATGAAAAACTGTGTGAATGACAATCAGCTTGAGATCTGCAGCCATTTCGGAAGATGAAAGGACAATCTTAATGTTAGATCATGTAGAGAACGATTGATTTTCTTTGTTTACCTTCTAGTGCTTAATGACAATCAGTTTGAGATCTGCAGCCATTTCCTAGTCTAGGATCTGCAATCATTTCGCCAGCCATGAGTTCCTTATAAGTCCATCATGAGCATTCCGGATCAAGTCTCAGACCTGGACAAATAGAAGAGAGCATGCAACGTTCCTTGTACGATAAAATTTCGGTTAGACCATTCAATATAAAATTCTACGTATACTGTGTCGAGTTCAGGATGACACAGTAATGAACCGAACTTTTAAATTCAGAGGAATCACCCTTGGGACAATTTTTTCCCGTTTTATCTCTTAGGTTGCAAAATCCAAACAAAAGCAAATAGGTGACATTAGCAGTTACCTAATCTCTCCAGAAGCAAAGGAAGGGTATGTCTTAGTTCAAGCTGGTTGCAATCCTTGTCACCTGTTTTTGTTGCGTTGCCTGTCATCCATGTGTGTCTACAAATATTTGCTTTGAAACGCCGAGCGCCTACAATGGCCTGAAGCTCCTAATACGGAAGAGCATCATATTAGTCAGTACCTGTACAAAGGAGTGGTAGGAAGCAGACAGAAAAGCTGGGCAAAAAATGTAACATTAACAGTCATCATACCGAATGCAAAAAAAAAATGTGATGCGAACATCTCCACGAAACAGAGTAAAATAAGGAGACAGAGCATGGATCTGATAACAAAATAATTGTTGCATACAACACAAATTGTAGCCAGTGACATGCTTCATGAGAGAGTCAGCTTATAATAAATGTAAAAATTCTATGCTAACAGCGGCAGATAATGAGTTAAGTAAGAGCATAGAGTCAGTAAGAGCATAGAGACCCCATAGGCCATCGCAGTTGCTAAGATCATAAAAATTAACCCATGTGGTACTATAGTATTTTAGATTTCGCATAAGTGATATACGATATATGTCAGCCAACAGGTAGATTAAGCATTTGGCAGATTAAGCATTTGTGCATGAAAAGAGACAATATCTTTTGTGGTCTGACGAATTTCATTGGTCATCCCATATGTTTTTAATGAAGTTGCAAATCCAAGAATTTAGTGAAGGAGGCGCAAAAATCGTCAGAATGGGTCTGTCTTTTATAGCGAATTTCCTGTGCTTTACAGGCACCAGTTTAACGAACAGGGAAAATGGAGGAGTAATTAAGCAAAAATGAAGAGACACCTTCAGTCACAGCAGTTAGCTAGTTCCTGTCACTTACAAAAAATGCAGCTGAAGAAGCCTAGTGGACAGTAAGAAGCTGTGAACCTGTATAAACCCCATAGGCTATAGCAGGTGCTAAGGCCGTAAAAATTAACCCAGTTCCTTGAATACCTTAGCAAAAAGGTTACTATGAGAACTGACATTTTGAAGGGTGTCAATGAGTCAGTGGACTACAATACAAAAAACATTGATTAATTAATCCAGTGTGGCAAAAAATAATATCGGGTCATATGCTTGCTAATAAAGCAAAGGAGTTATAGTGTTCGTATCGATATTCCCAAGCAGGAAAAAACATCTTTGTTCATGATGGCAGCTACAAGTTTACCACGCCGCTAAACTATTATACAACAAAGTTAGGCAGGCAAAAAAACCTATGTCCAGATAAAGTAGCATGGTTGCAGCCAACATTCACCCTGAACTCTCCTCTGTATCGTCATGCGATACAGGAAAAAGGGTGCTTTCCTGTATGCACTGGATATTACTGAAACAAGGTATCTGAAGGTGGCATATCAATCAATCGAAAACTGCATGAATAACCAAGCAAGGTGACTTATAGTTTTGGTTGAAAATAATTATTGGCAGCGAGAAAGACATGTAGTAATGTGCCATCGCCACATGCATATCAATTAATCGAATCGAGAACTGACAACCCAAAAGTTGATTCTAAAATTGTTTGAGCATCAGGTATGCAGCATGAGCACCAACCGCTTTAAAGGATGATGAAGGTGTGTGACAGCCCACATGCTGTTTAACACAAGAGAAATAGGAGGGAGGTGTATATATTAATTGGCACAAATAGGTTATGAGACCTGGAGGGGTCGGGTACTAAATATTATTTAGTACCTAGGTTGCCAACTTTTATATATATATATATATATATAGACACACACACAATCGAACCGAGAACTGACAACCCAAAAGTTGATTCTAAAATTGTTTGAGCATCAGGTATGCAGCATGAGCACCAGCCGCTTTAAAGGATGATGAAGGTGTGTGACAGCCCACATGCTGTTTAACACAAGAGAAATAGGAGGGAGGTGTATATATTAATTGGCACAAATAGGTTATGAGACCTGGAGGGGTCGGGTACTAAATATTATTGAGTACCTAGGTTGCCAACTTTTATATATATATATATATATATATATATATAAACACTATCTTGTAGGTGGCTACAAAATAACTTATTCTGTAGCCACTTTGAGTTACGATAATTACTATGTTAATTTACGAGATTATAGTAACTCCTTGCTAAGTGGTTTACTATAACGTTATGGTAAATATCTCTATGTGTTATAGTAACCCAACTATCGTAAACACACACACATATATATATATAGGGAGAGTATATTCTGTAGCCACCTCCATTTATGTTAATTTTATATACTAATTTACTATAATGTCGATACATATTTACGATAGTTGAGTTACTGTAACATATGGGGTATTTACCAGAACGTTATAGTAAACTACTTAGCAAGGAGTCACTGTACTCTCATAAATTAATATAATAATTATCGTAACTCAAATGGTCTTCAGAATAAGTTATTTTGGTGGGACCGTACGTCTTCTGCAACATGAATCTGCAGGAGTTCAAATCTTACCGGCAACTTTGCCAGACGACGGACTGCAACTTGCATTATGTTTATGACACGGACACGGTGCATCCGGGCTGGCCCACGGTACAGTACTCCGGCTTACCGTGCACTGATCAAAGTACGAAAACAAACAGTCTGCTAATATTGTATTATACAGCTAACTTAGTCCACGGCCAAAACGAGCCGCTGGCCAGCAAGTTCGATAAAAAAAACTAGTAGTAAACCCTTATTAACGCTACGATAAAAACTAAAAAATAATATTTTTCTACGCACAAAACTTTTTTTTTATCACCACTGCATTCACGTCATTGCACATCGTTCTTTTTCTTGTCTCTACGCTCTATGCTTATAAAACTGCTGAAAACCGTCGCTCAGTGTCTTGCTAACACTACGGGACACATTAAGTAACTTTTGCATGTACACATAAATCTACACTATATTCAGCTTTTCGTTTGTTGGTTTCAGCTGGCCCAAACCAATCAGTCAACAATGTTTTTCTCTCAAAAAAACCAACACCAGTCAGCCCAAACCAGCACCAGCACCAACCAGCGAACATGCCCATTGTTAGCATCTCCTAGCCGGCTAGATTACGCCCGGGCCGCTCTCGTCGAGCTTGTCCTCGTCGCGCGGCCCTTGAAGCACAATGCCACTACAGCCTGCTCCGCCTCATCGTCGGCGTGCTTTGGCATCGCCGCCCTCGACGGTTCGACGTCCTCGTGGGTTCTTATTGTGTTTACACTAAAATTTAGAAAAAAGAACGTGAGAACTCGAAGCTTCTAAGATTGTATCATCAAGAATATGATCAGATGTGAATCGATATCAGCTGGTTTTGATGCAGTATCGGAATCGGCTATTTTATAGATGACATCAACAGACAACGTCAATGGACAACGTACGGATGGCGTCAGGGGACAATATGTCGGACTCTACAAAAAGAAAAAGATTAGGGTCGAAGTTATTTTTAAGTTAGGAATGTTTTCTTTTATTCCAAGAATTGTAATGAGTCGTATTTGAGTAGGTTCCGGGTATAAATATTGGACCCCGGTTATTATAAAAAGGACGAACAATCAATCAACACAATCTTTCCGGCTTTCGCCATTGCATTAGGAATATGAGTATTGTAGATCTCGACGAGTTCTTCAGCAAACAGGGCTGCATCGACTGATCGACCTCCAGCTTGCTTGTGAGTACCGTCACGACTTGTATTGTGCTTGTAAAGCTGCATTAGCTGATTGATCTTTTATGAGCCATAATATAAGTTAGTTATCGATATGTATCGTAGTTTGTAAGGCTCCATCAGCTAATTGATCTCTTTCGAACCATAATATAGATCCAAGTTATCGATCTTGTGTTAAATAACTTGTTGTTTAATACAATATCATCAGTTATCGAATCTGCTAAGATTAGTAAGATTTTTCTTGCTGTTTTTGGTTGATTTACCAGCTATCAATCTTGTTATAATAAATGTTTTATTAATTATAACAAATCACCTGATTGAGATAGAGACAGATCGGCATCATATCATCTTAATTGGTCGTCCTTTGATCTGGTCACGCTTTAAATCTTATGATTGACGACTTAATTCCGCTAGATCGGTTGTTTTATCTCTATTCCAATCAAACATAGTATGCATACAAAGACATGTTTCAATCTTGAATAAACTCACTGGTTAATGAGATCTAATCTAATGACACTACCATAGCTACATCGATCCAGTCGAACCTCATTGGTAAGACTTTAGATTAGAGATTATTGATTGGTGGTTTTGTTCATGATCGAGATATGTACTCTGTTTGTTTCCTATGCATGCATCAGCTATTTTAGCCGATTCGTCTGTGCTTTCACACATATAGCATGCTTTTCATGAACCTGTCAATATATAGATGGTTTTATAGATTCTTTGACTTTAGTTTGTTATTATTATCGTAGCTGTATCGATCCGATCGAACCTCACTGTTGATGGTAACAGATTAGATTCAGAGCGTTTGTAAATTTATTTGTACTAGATAGTCGATTTGTTCGCATGTTATATCATTTCTCATTAAACTTATCGGCTCAATGCTTTACACTGGTTATATCCATCTAGCTGATGATGTTTCTTTGTATTACTTATATTTGGGTGTATTGTA